TAGTAAAATTCTACATATTAATGCCACTTTCTTACGGAAGAGGTTCTTATATAAGATAGAATGTTGATATATATAGATTTTTATAGTGAAGTAATGGATGAAAGTTCACTATATAATATGGAGATTGTTCGTGCGCTTCCTATGCAAAATTCAAAATGTTGATGATTTTATCGTGAAATTTTGGATATTAAATCAACTTTTTTTTATGAAATTCTATATCGAATGAATCCTTATGTAAGATAGAATGTAATATATATATATATATATTTTTTTTTTTCTAGGTAGGTAATCGATAAGACTTCACTTACATAACTTAGAGATTGTTGATGCTCTTCTCTTATAATGCTGATATTTTATATAGATATTTTATAATATTTTCAAATCTCATTCTTTTTCCCTGTGGATTACACTTTGAAAAATAACTCTCTAAAATTTTCTTTAAAATATATACTTGTAAGAGTTACATATATATAAAGAAATAATCAATAAGATATAATGGGGAATAGTTGTTTTCTTATAATATTATAATATGAAAAAATAAAAAATAAATTTATCAAATTTTCCAAAAAACAAGCTACAAATCGAATTTATGAATAATATTTCAAATTCTCTAAAAAATCTTATTTTCAAATTATTATTATTATTTTTTTATTATTATAAAAACTGAATAAATTTCTAGTTTATTTGCTTAAGACTTTTTATTCGTATTTACTTAATTTCTGGGAAATGTTAACAAAATAAGAAGCAATTAATGTTGAAAGATAACTAACAATTCCAATTTTTGTCTTCTTTTTATTTATTGCTCGTGTCAAACTAAGAAACAGAAGAAACTTGTAAGATAAATATAGCTCTTCAGCATCCCTTGATACTCCATTTGGGCAATCATATTAATCATCTATACGCTTACTGCAATTGCAGCATCGAGTTAAAATAAAAATAAAGAGGAAAAAAATTATATATATAAGAAAATTTTACTTTATTGCTACTAAATAAGAGCGTATAATGAAGGAAAATTTTTAAAATTGTTAGTTCTAGATGAAAAAATGCATAAAAACCCTAACAAAAACTTTGAGAGTGGTTTCATATATATATATATAAATCCACAGGGATAATGAGGATAATGGTGATGATAGAATTTCTGAGGTATGTGATGAAGGTAATGAGAACAGAGTCGCCATTCAAAAAAATTAAAAGGATTTTTGTTTTGTTATGGAATTGTCCTGTTGGTGAAATGAGAGATTTATGAAAATTTAATCACTTGTCAGAAGAATAATTTTAAAGCAATGTTTTACTATACCAAAGTCATGATATCATACCAGAGCCGGATTTACGCATATGCTGAATAAGGTAGGGCCTCACGTTATGAGTTAGGGCCGTAAAAAACGACGTGACATTCTCGATTTATTACACTTCCTTTTTTCTCCCTTTATAAACTTTAAATCACATTGATTTTCTGGACTTTATAGTTAAAATTTATTATATAAATTCTGGTCCGGGTTCTTCTATATAAACCCAGGTTTACAGTCCCTAAACTATATCTAGGAGAGAGGGAAGCTTCTTCTCCCCCTCGTTGGTCCTAGATACAGTTTAGGGCCTCTCAGCTTAGAGTAACAAGTCTAAATCCGGACTTCGTTATGAATGATTTCTAAATAGAAATTTATGTTTTATGGGTTTATCCTTTAAAATTCTTAAGATTAATTTCCTGAAAATGATAAAGTAATGCTTAATTTACATATAAATGTGTTAATTTTACATAAATATATACACGTTAAATATAAACTACGTAAAGCACACACTCTACACATTAAAAAAATATAATTTTTTAATGTAAAATTAAACGCCAAAATCGTCGAAAAGTTACGGATTTTTAACAATTAGAGTAACAGAATAAAATAAAATTAAATTAATATTTCAAGTACATAAATAATTTTAAAAGTTGTCAATGAAAATAAATACGTAGCAACCTTGACACTTTCATTCACGGGGGTCAACAAATAACAGGAAATTTCAAAAGTTTCTTTCAACTCATTTCCGTTCATCTCTTTGTATGCCAGAAATAAAACTTTAATACTTCATAATATAAGATACATCAAGATTTTTCTTTTTACTTTCCTTTTTTTTACATAGTCTTTCTAGAATGATACAAAGTACAAAGTATTGAGTATATTGCGAAGTACTGTACATTGTATTTGCCTTCTATTTTCTCCAGATTTTCTCTTTGACACTTGTAACAAATGATTGATGATGGGTTAGTTCCTATCATCTTCCTTATCTGTAATACATAGACAAAGGATGTAGTAGTTTCTGCAACTCTGCTGATATCCTGCTAAATATTGCTATTTTGTGATCATTCTGATGTTTATATATATATATCACTCTTCAAATATTGAAGCTATGATGGATCTAAAGACTTAGTATTACACGTTACAGTATGCTTAAGGCTCTTACAGACGTGAAGAAAGAAGATAGTCAATTATATATCATACTAGTAAAATATACTGCTTAGAAAAAAAAATTATTGCTATAATTTCTCAACTAACTTCTGGTCTTTGACTCTTCTTTATTAATTCTCTACAGCTATTAAAGTGTTATTTTACAACATAAACAAAGCATTAGCATAAGTAATAAGCTGTAATAAAGTTTTTAACTTAAGAAATGCAGATTAGATCTTAGGAGACGATGTTAAATATCAAGATAAAGGATAGCAGAAGAGAAATTGTTGTTTGTATCACAGCTTTTTTCTCCTTCTCTCTCTTCCTTCTTTGCTTTACTTCCTCAAGACAAATTATTTTCTCATTATTCCTAATAGAAATATATGTTTGTTTACTCTGAAGAAAATGACTCCATGTTAGAATTTGAATCCGCTGGAGAATTAGTTTAAAAAGTTATAAATATAAAAAATATATATGATGTAATTTTGTGGATTTTAATGAATTAAAAAAATAAGTACCTTGGTGCAATCATACAAATTTTAACGAAAAAAAATTATTTTAAAAAGACGATGTTGAAAAGTGTTGAAAATGATGCAAAAAATTAAGATAAAAACAGACATTTTGTAATTTTACAAATTTAGAAAGAAGTTTACTCGATAAAAGTTAGAAAAATTTAGCTTTTAACCTTAAAAATTTCACAATTTTATACCTTAAATTTTATTTTTTCTTAAATAAATATAGAAAATACCCGTTAGAAAATCTTATCTTCCTTCAGGAATTTTCAATGAAAAAAAAAGACTAATAAAATCTATCTTTTCCATTTTTTTAAAGTTGTAATTTAATATAAAAAAATGAAAAAATTCTAAACATTTTTACGTTATAAATTTCCATTAATAAATGATTAAAGGGAAGAAAAAGGCAAATTCCGCAAGTTAACTTTCTTACAAGTGAAAACAGAAAATGATTATCTCGTATCATGAAATATTTAGTTAAAATTTTTATCCCTTTTTTTCCTAACAAAAGAAGAATTCATTAGAAATCAAATCTTAACGAGTTTTAAATGACCCTAACCGAATGTCAATTGAAACAAAAATGACAAACCAATGCTTTGTGTACAATTAGCAAAACCTATTTGCAATTCATTCGTGTCAACAGAAGAAAACGAGTTTTATCATTTAAAACTCACGCAAAAGTTTGAAAATAATTATGAAAGCTTAATCATCATTATTAAAATTAGCGAAATAATGTAAAGAAGTTCAAGAATAGATTTTTTTGGTCATTTATAAGGAGAAAAATAGCTTTAGAAATGTACAAAATAGCTTATAAAATGCATTAAAACGGTACAAAAAAGTTTTATTTATAGATAAAAATAATTTATATCTATTATAAATGTTTTTTTGTAATTTTTTTTTTCATAAATTAAAACTAAATTTCAAAATTATATTCTTATACAATAATGCTGTTCCTCCGACGAATACAGTTTAAAACTTTTTATATAAAAATAAGTTAGAAAATTTTATTTTACATCAAAATGTAATTTAAAATCTATTTTCTTGTAGAAAAATAGAGTGTTTAGAGTATTTTGCTATATAAAAATATAGTTAATTTTTCTCATTGACGGATGTATTTTAAATGTTTAATATTATATTAAATATTAATAAGAAGTTTAATGAAGTAAAATATAATTTAAAAAACATATTTTTTAAAAAATAATTTTGGTAAAAAATCAAAATATAGAAACTTTTTGCATGAAAACATGTTTCAAAACTTTTTCTACGTAAAAAAATACAATTCAAGTATTTTTTTTTTTCTTGTATTAAAGCATGGTTCAGAAATTTTTCTCACATAAAATATGCTTCATAAATTCTTTTCTTATAGGGAAAATAATATTAAAATTTTTTGCAGGTATAAAAAATATATTTAAAAAATTTCTTCTTGCATAAAAAAATTTTTCCTAAGTAGAAACATGTTAATAAAACATTTTATTTTCCATAAAAACATGTTTAAGAAAATCTTTTTCTATGAAACAAGATTAAAAACTTTACTAAAAGAGGCACACAATTTTTTCCCCACTTCGCTGTTTCTTAGAGAAATTTCATTTAAATCGTATTATATTCTTGAATTTGAATGTATTTCACATTGAAGGCTGTACAATTGAATAAAATCTCTATCGCATCATCTTCAATAGTAATATTTAGAAGAGACAGAAACGAATATATATATATTTACTAGAGATCTTTGATGTCTAGCGAGGAAATAAAGATAGTTTCGAAAGAGAATACCCATTTCTATTTCTGAAAAAAATGAAAAAAAGAAGAATGAAAATGAAAAAAAAAGAAGAAAATAGTATAAGTTTCTATCAGGCATTCTTCTTTGAGCGGTGAGAAGCACAAACTGGCAACAATTCCATTTCCAATATAAACAGAAATGAGATACCAAGCAAGGAAAGATGGAATTACTCAGCGAAAACCTACCCTGATTGCCCTCCTCACTCCAACTGTGACGTTAGACTCGATGGCACATGCGCATAGTTGTTGCCCTCGAGGTAAAAGCTATGACTTGAGTTGTGGCAGGAGGCAACCAGTTCTTGTCTAGACATTGCAGCGATTGAACGTGTTTTCTCGCTCTAGCTGATGTTCTGTGCCACAAACGATGATTATGGAATGTTTCTGATGTCTTCTACTAATATATCTACAGATTAAAATCTTCCATATAATTATTTAAATAATGGAATTAAATTTAATACGTCCGCTATTCTACTTTGGCTTGTATTTGGTATCGCAGTTGACTGGATGCGCTACCGAAGGTGAGTCTCTTTTCTTTGTACTTAACGGTAAAGTTATGCTGTAAAGTTTACGGGAATGTAGTTTTAAGTATAGAAAGATTAGTCGGACAAAGAAATGCCAGAACATGTAGTTCTAGACACGTGGGACTTAGATTGCAACTCCACCCTCGTGTTGTATCGTACATCAACCATTGACAGATTGATGGATCCGAAATATTTTGTTTTAACAGAGGAAACGCTCTATGGCTTTATTTTTTTATTAACTTATATCGAGATAAAATGCATATAATATGACGTTAAAAATGTATTTTCTTCTATATAAATAATTTATTGACATTATTTTTATTGCTTTTTTTTCTCTTACATTTCGCTTCTAACGTCCCAGTCCTTCTGTTCTCTTGTAAGAATTTACGTTAAATACGTAAAGTTTATGACTTATTCAATTGTTTAAATATTTAATTTTTAATCAAAAGCATTCATTTACGTATATGAATAAATAATTATAATTATAATTAAGTGAATGGTAATGTGGTACTTAGCTTTATAACGTTCTGTACTTGTACTTATAGTATAATGCGCATCCCAAGATATATATAATATATATATATTTAAGAATATATTTTTCAAAATTTATGCAAATAATCTTTGTAAATTATCAAAAAAAATGCTCTAAATTAAGGATTTTTTAAGAATAAAGAGGATCTGAATCGATGGATGGTATGCAGAAAGGCATAAGCGCGATTAAAAGGAGTTGATTGAACATGTGCACTCTCCTATGACTAACCAAAGCGATACCGAACTCACCAAGGGAGTAGAATTCATTCTAATCGTTGTTATAATGGATTATCCAACTATCTAATTTGACTTCCATTAATTGCCACGAAGGAAACCTTGAAACGTAATTCATAATTAAAATTAGATTAAGTGAATATCTAAGCAAATTTATGTCTTGTGTGAGTTGGGTTCGTTAAATATAAATCCTTCAATTCTTAAATTTTATATTGTCAAAAGGGATCGAATGTATTTAAAGGTAATCGTTTGCTACTAAAGTTACAAACGATTGAGGATAATCGTCGATAAGTCCCATCTTCATCACGACAAATTAGAAATTGTGAGACTTGTCAAAGTTTATTAACAGGAATGCGATTGGAGTTTAAGCGTTAAAAAATTGCAAGCTGCAAAACCGAATCGAAATATATCCAAGGATGAATTTGATGACGTGAAGAATTGAATAAAAGTAAGAATTGAGATAAGTAGGAATGAATTTTTTTGTATAGCAGAGAATGAGATTGTGTGACAAGATGAATCAGCGTGAGTGAAGATGAATTGTGGTAATTGAAGATGAATTGGAATGAGTTATGGCAAATTGTACGAGATGGAGTGAATAATGGTAATCGTAATAGCCATGTTACATTTAAGCAACTGGTTTGAAGAATATCGACAATTGTTGTATATAAAAATATGAGCAATTTATAACGAAAAATTTAAAAAATTGATAGAGAAAATTCAAGAAATTCCTAAGAAGAATACCAGTCATTGTTGCTAGTAATTCGAGAAAAGAATACGAGTAAATTAAAATTTTTGTTTTAAATAATTAATAAGGCGAATAATGAATAGAAAAAAATTGAATAATTGACGTAAAAATTATTACTAAAAATTTAATGGATTCTTATTAAGAATTTAAAGACATTTTTATAATAATTAATTAATTAAATTAATTAACATGAGAGAAAAAATTCAAAAACTTGAAAAAAATTTTTTAAAAACAACTGAAGAATTTGAAAATTAATTTTGAGAATTCAAGAAATTGAGACAAAAATTAGGAAATTAATATGAAAACATGCGAAAAAAGTAGCAAAAAATCGATTTAATATAGAAAAATGAAAGAATTAATTAAGACGAATTTAAGAAATTAAATACTTTAGGAAATTAATTCCAAAAAATTCTTAAAACTAAGCAAATAAAACCGAGAAATCGTCAACAAAGAATGATGACGAATTAATGCAAATGACAATATATTGGTATAATTGTCAGTTAATGAGAATCCGAGTAACAAATTACGAACTTAACGTGAGTTTATGTAACTGTCATTAAATTGGTGCAACGGAGCAATAAATTACTTAAAAGAAAAGAATCAATTAGTTCAAAAAAGCGTTAATGCACTTCACAAGTCGATATAGAATGCCACGATATGCTTTTATAAACACGAAAAACAGCATTTCATGCAATCGCTTAAGATAATGTCAAATGAAATGTTCGGGTCACAATATAACATCATCCTTTAAGTCTAAACTGAATTCGGAGCTTTAAATTTAATCCCATTCCCGATGGTATGTTGCCTTGATATCAGAATGTACTACATTGACGCGGTTTTACGAAGAATTCTATAAATAAATACGCATCTACCGACATAAATTTACTTTAAAACATAGCTTAAAATGTATAATACATGATGTATTTTTTATCTTCGTATTTTTTTCTTATGATAAATTATCTTTGTTGCCAGACAAGAATTGCTATTAGGGATTGTTGCCCGGCCTAAATTATGCCTTCTGTTGCCTGTTTATCATTTAACCTTTTCGTGTCAGCTACACTCTTATGCAACTTTGATCGGTCCAAAGTGGTCAGATTGGCCCAAGGGTAAAGATATGTTAAAGGTTATACTACAGTATTGATAACATAATCTAGACTAAATGTCCCGTAGTTCGTATGAATTGTATGTGTAAAGAGTAATCACTTGACCCGCAACGGTTAATTTAAAAAAATAAAATAAAATAAAAATAAGAAACAGGAATGGACGCGTGACTTATTAATGTAACTTCTTTTCGATCGCGTGATTTGGTATAATGATTTTATTCATGGATAATACGATTAGGGAGGAAGAGTAACGGGATTTAGATGACCTAACTGATGTATGATCCTACCTTCGATAGTAGAAAGAACTGTTCTCATAGCTCTCACATTACCTATGCGAAAATATTATAATTATGTCATAGGTGTATCGGTCTGCTTGGAATCACGTGAACGTCACGCAATGTTTTTTTTAAACCCTAAGTGACAGATGACACTATAAAGAGGGGGCTAAAAAGGTATATATACTGTATATACATATTACGGCGAAGAGCGGATGTAATTTTCGGTAAACCACGTGATTCACGGGAAGCCAATAAAGTTTGTTCGATAATTAAGGCATGCTAGGTTGTAAACTTGGTCCACTGGCCTTTATAACCTAAGGTATAAGTAGTATATAATAACAATTCATAATTGCCTTTATAGGGTTTCCTGGAAGTGATACTGGAACTGGTCGAATATAAATTATCGAATAGTAGCACGATAAAGTGACGACGGACCTATTAACATTTGTAAAGGGAGTGGAAGAAAGAGAAAGGAGAAGAGAATAAACGAGGGTTTAAGTTCACCACGTGACTCGGGATACCTTTTTTTTCTTGTTGTGCTTACGTAGTTAAAAGATATTTCTCTCGAGTTGAACGAACTCGGGTGTTATCCTGTAGAATACTTGTTGCCCCACCTAATCACCTGTAAGGTGCCGGTCGGGTGACCACAAATAAAATATGGGGGGACCAATTTGCAAGGAAATTTGCATGGGTTGTGTATCGAATACAGTTTATATGCAATGCCATAGGTAAACTGATAATATGTTCCTGATTCAGATGATATTTTATGCATCAAAATCGCACGGTATACTATAGAGATCGTAATCAAACACTTGACAAAAGTAGAAATTTGGTCGTGCAATTTTATTTCCTGCACTAGTAACATATTCAAAATTCTATGATTTAAATTTTTTTTCGAAAAGTTTTAAGATATGCCGAACAGAAGACGTGAAAATATAATAATAATAATAATAAAAAGAAGAGTAGGATATAAAAAAGAGCATATCTTTCTGGTTGTGTTGCACGGCATATCTTTCTAGTTCTTCTAGATAATAGAAGCAAGTAAAAAAAAAAGAAAAAGTGGCACGAATAAAGTGGTCGGTAGGATTTAAATAAAATATTCAAAAAGTTCCCCCGATACTTTTTAGAAGTTGGAATTTTTAGCTAAAGAAAAATTCTTATTCATAGAAAGAAGAATGAAATTATTAGATTACTAACAAACGAATGTACCATTTCTTTCAATACCCAGAGGAAGAATAGTATACGGAAAAGAGTAATCAATGTAATCGAATTTCAATGGCGACAAAGTGTTCTGATTCACTCTCCATCGTTGCTATCTGCTTGCCATAATTATTATTACAAGAGCTACAGTTATCGAGAATTTAAGAGTAGAGCAGAAGAATGATGCGAAGATAAAATCTAATTATTTAATTATCTAACTCGAAAATATTAAAAAGAAGTAAATTTTTTTTATGGATCGGGTATCGTGCATTTCTGTAATCAAGTAACTTCGAAGGAGGAAACTTCTTTTTAGTTTTATGATAGGAAACTCCCGTGAAACTCCTACGTGAGTCTGTGTTTCGAAATTGCAACGTTCTAATTTAACTTTTAAACTATCGTTCAATTTTTATGTAAATTAATTTATAATTAATAAACATATTTCTTAACTAGGACAAAATTTGGTTGAAGTGATCTTTAACATTGATTTTTTGATAATTCTTTCAGGAATTTATAATTAATCTTGAGATTCTTGTAAAAATAAGCATTATTTTGTTATGAAAATGCCATTTTTTTCTTTTAAAGTGTCTTAATTTTATATAAAAAGAGATTTGTTTATGTAAATCAATGGAGTTCATACTTCATCAACCGGATATTACTACAAAACTTTATTTGCCTGTCAAATATCCCGTAGTTTGTTAAAATGTCAAGTTTAATTACAAAATATGATAAATTTAATTATAACTACAAACTATTGATTATGATTTTAAATAATATCTCGTTGTATCGGTTCAGAATTCACAATGAAACAGGTTTTGTCTAATTATATTTTGATGGCTCTTCTCACTTACAGCATATCAAAACTGTTGCTATTTTAATACATTTTTTAAAAAAACAAATAACTTAAAA